TCTATCCTATATACTCGTTGTCTTCATTCCAGAACCCAATAGGACTCTCAGCATACAATAAGTTGCGAGCATGGGAAAGCTGTCCCTATCACTTATCTGTCATGTGGTGGCATGGGAGAGGGAGAGCTGCCCTGAGGTCAGAAGGGCGGGAGAGCTGCCCCTGCCTTCCACCAGCTGCAACACTCAGGAGAGCAGGTCCTGCACCCTGCCTGGGTGGCAGAATGGAGCCAACCCCATTGGCAGAGGTGTGGGCGACTCGGCCCTGGAGTTGTGAGCATGGAAGAGCTGTCTCCTCTATTCACCTGTCATGTGGTGGTATGACCAGGAGAGAGATGCGCCCCTCCCCACCTATCAGTGCCTGAGGCAGGTGGGAGAGCTGACCCTGAGGTCATAAGAGTGGGAGAGCTAGCCCTGACCCTCATATGCTGCAGCACACCATGCCTGGACAACACAGTAGAGCTGGCCCTGGAGGTGTAGGTGTGGGAGATGCAACCCTGAGGATGTAAAAGAAGAACAGTCCCACTCCTTGCTCATCCCTGCAAAGGGTGAACTAGCCAAGGCAATGCAGGGGAGCTCACCCTGGTGGTAAGGACAAGGGAAAGTTTGTGGGTTGACCAACCTTGCTACTACCCATACCCAGAACCAGGGTTATGGGTCAGACCACCCCATTATCCACCCCATCTTTACTAAATGAGTCATCTCTCTAGTGTCAACAGCTGCATCTTAAATATGCTTTCCTGATATTCCTAAGCTCTGGCATCTACGCGGTATTTGTTCATAGCCTATCACATAATTAAGGGAATTCGTCCTAGGATGGCTTGAAGCCTTCTTTGTAATGCTAGTCTATGGTTAAAGCGTCGGACAGACAACAACTAGTTATTTTCTATGGAATAACATGTGTGTCTTTGCCATCCTGCAAATTGGTCTTGTATGAGGAAGAATATGGGAATTTGTGAAGACAACATTAAATAGTAGTATCAGTGTCCAAGTTCCAGAAACTGCCCTGCTACAAGGTCCTCAAGGCAAACTCTGGAAGAATTGTCCCTGCTCAGGGGAGTTGGAAAGTGCCCTGTTCTGAGAGCCCATGCAATGTTTTTGTGAAGATGTTTGGTTTGCTGCACCAAAGGCAGTGCTGGCAGAGCAGTCAGATAAAGATCACAAAAGGACACATCCCTAGAGACCCACGACCTAGAGTCATGGAGCCTTTGAGACCAAGTGTTTACTTGAATATTATTGAAGGATAAGTGTTCACAATATCAAGGAAGGAATTTCATGAAGTATAAATGAAGGATTCTGTGCTCCTTAGATGAGAGGCACAGAGCATTTTTGGGCAGTTTTCATGGTGGCTAGCTGAGTGGTCCATGATGCATGGGTTGTAGTCCACAAAGTATAGGTAAAGGTTCCATGATGTCTTGATGAGGTATTGTGATGTGTATATGGAGTGTTCCCTGATCTACAGGTCAGGGCTCATGGTCTATAGGCAGGCAAATCCGCAATTCACAGATATAGTATTCCTGAAGCTTTATGATCTATAGATGAAAGGCTTTGATATATAGATGGGAATGCCATGATGTGCAGACAGGGGTCTATAATTTGTGCATAGAGTTTCTATGGTCTATATAGATGGAGTATCTATGACCTATGAATGAGGCACTCAGGTTCTAGAAACAGAGGATTGCATGACATGTAGACAAGGATTCAACAGTGCATAGCTAGGACTTCTGTGATCTATAGACAGAGGCCCGATGATGGACTATTGACAGCGGTGCTGAGAGAGCACAGTTCCTAGAAGGAAGGGGTTTTGGCTGAGTAGGAAGACAGAACAGCTTTTATGGTAAACCTTAAAAATTGTTTATTTTCATATATTCTCCCATGAACTCAGACCCTATCTAGGACAGGTTTTCAATTTCATCAGCCCTGATTCCCATTTTTACGTTTGGCCCCCACCCAGCTATAGGGTGCACTTTTTAAGGGGCTGAGGCAAGAGGATAATGAGCCCCTGGCACGGCTGTACTGCTGTGGTGTGATGAATGGCCCGCAACCCTCGAGCCGCTCCATGCCCTTCATCATCCAGTCGGAGTGGTTAGCAGACTGTCAGAGAAAAATAATTTAGCAGCCATGGCTTTAACGGATGTGCTGCATTCTGGGGTCAAATGACTATTACAAAGTAGTAGCGCTGCCTGGCTTCTCCATCGTGAGAACTCAGAGTTGACAACATGAAAGAAGAATGCATCACACCCAGAACTCACTGACGTCCTTCAATTTCACACGGTAGGAAGCAGAAGAGAGAGATGAGCTGGGTGTCCTAGTAAACAGAGAATCCCCGGCCTGCCTGGGAGCCTTGCGGGGAGCTCTGGCCTTTCTGCAAAGTGGCATCAAGCTGCGGCCGAGTGGAACAGCACAAGGGCTATGCCCACAATTGCTGTCGGACCTTCTCAAGTAGGCAAGAGAGATGAGCTGATCAAGCTCATGCCAAAGGTCATGGGCAGTTTCAGAAAGGGCTCATTCTTCTGCACAGCCTTGAGTCCGGGCAGTAGGAAGGAGACTGCCTCCGTGGCACTTCTGCAAGCTTGATTCCTTGTAGCAGAGAGGTGGAATGGGGGAAGTCAGAAAAATAAAAAGACAAAGGCGTAGGAAAGAGAGGATGCAAGGTCACAGAGTTTCTTGCTAGTGAGTGTGCAGGAGTGGATCTAGCAAATGTTCTTGCTTCTTTCTCTAGCCCATTCTGTTCACTGGGGTTATGCATTTATTTGAGCATGAACTGAAGGGCAAGACTGATGAAGTTTATGGTTTACCCCCTTCCACCTGCTCCTTAAGTCATTATTACGTGCGCAATAAATGCTTGAGGTGAAGTAAATGAGTAGGAAGTAGATAGACCAGGAAAAAAAACCCCACTGGGACTCATATATAGTGTGTCTTTTCTCTCACCGAAGATTTTTGAAAAACAGTACATCTTATGGCCGGGAACACGGCTCAGTCAAGAGAGTGCATGTTCTGCAAGCATGAGACCCCAACTTTGGATCATTAGTATCCACATAAAAGCAGGCAATGGTAACATGGGCTTATAATCCAAGCTTTAGAGAGGTAGAGACAGACGGATCACTGGGGCACGCTGGCCAGCTAGTCTCGTCAAATTGTTGAACTTCCCGTTCAGTGAGAGATTCTGTATGAAGAAACAAGATGGAGGGGCTGGAGAGATGGCTCAGCAGTGAAGGGTGCATGCTACAATTTGCAGAGACCTCCATTAGTTCCCAGAATCCACATCAGATGGCTCACAACTACCTGTAACTCTTCTGGACTTGGGGCCACTGCAGTCATTTTCATATCCCCACATTTACACATAAATAAAAAATAAGGCGACACATGATAGAGGAGACATGCCACATTGGTCTCTGACATGCCTCTGCATGCATGCACACACATGTGTGTACACACTCACACATATACACACCCAAACACATACACAAGCATGTGCTGCAAACACACATACACACAGGACATCTGCTCTGGCGTCTTTCCCATGCCTGCTTAGAGTCAAATATAAAATGAATGAATGAATGAAATGAACGAATGAATGCCCTATCCAGTTATTATTCAAGCTGAAAGAGCCCTTTATGCTCTTTGTGACTTTACAACTATCCCTGAGCAGTATCTGGCATTTTTATGACACCCTGAATTCTTTTATGGGTTCTTTTATCTTCAAAAGCAAAATAAGGGATTCTATTCCAGGTGCTGTGATGTCATGATGGTGGCGATCACAGCAATAACTCACAGTTATTAAGTACTTATGATGAATCCCACACGGGGCTAAGTGCCTTTTAACTATGTAAAGTGTTTCTTTCCTTGATTGATGCCCAGAATGAATAAAAATAATTTTCTGTATCGACTACATTAGAGAGACCTACAAATAAGTCTCAGAGTGATAAGAGAAAAGATAATTTGCATAAATAAGCAATTATAGAACTTGGCAGAATAAGGTTGTCTTAAGTGGTGTGAGAATAGTTCTTGGCATACAGGCAGTGCTACACAGGCACCTTAAACACGCGGAGGTAAAGTCCTGTGAGAAAGCAGACTCACAGGGCTGGGGGTATAGCTCAGGGGGACCACTTGTCTCATGTACCAGTGGCTCTGGGTCTGAATTCCAGTATCAGCAAGAAAGAAAAAAATGAAATTAGACCCACCATTATGTTGGCAAAATGGGAGAGATCCCTTTCTCTTTCTTTCTTCATCCCCTCCTACTTCCCACCCCCTCTCTTATATAGGCCAGGCTGACCTTGAACTCTATCCTCTCACCGACACCTCCCTAGTGCAGGGATTATGGACATGCACCTCCATCCCTGGTTCATGCAGCACTAGGGGTTGAACCCAGCTTAGTGAATGCTGGGAAAGCACTAGGCCACCTGAGTCATATCCGCAGTTCCCTAATCCTTATTTCTAGCTTCTCTGCCTTCCAGCAGCTTTTCTCCCGATGACTCTTGGTTTGTGCTAGTGTCTTACTGGGGACATTCTCACCTGGTTGGAAACCATAATCATAGAGGTTCTGGCCACTCCCAGTGAGACAATTTCCATCTTGGTTTGCTCACAGTAACTAACTAGAAACTCAGCCCAGACCACCAGCCAACACACTTTTTTTTTTTCTTGGTTCTTCATTTTCTAAGTTACTGGAGGACCTGGTGAATGAATCTTGCCTTCCTTTCCTGCAGCCTGGGTCTCTGGGTGGGGCCAGAAGACCTTATTACTTCTGCTTGGTTGCTGAGTTGATGAACTCTGCTTTCTTAATATTCCCATGATCCTTTATCAAAATAAAACAAAACAAAACACCGGCAATTCCTCTCTGTGTGCTTAGGAAAGGGGCCTTTTCAGGAAGGCCAGAGCTTTACCATGCTCTTTTCCCAGACACTGGGCTCCGGAGAGGGGCAGGCCCATTCCCCCATCACAGCAAGAATAGCCCAACTCATATCCATCTTTCCACGGACAGGCAGCTACGCGAGAAGTCTCACCTGTGGCAAGAGGTTGCATTTACTCCTGCTGGGTGTGTGGCCAGGCAGCCGGATGTCGAAGAGGGCCTGCAAAGCAGCTTGTGCTGCCTGGCCCTTGGCCAGCTTCTTGCTGCGTCCAGAGCCTTCGAACGTCCTCCCGTCCACGCACACAGCCATGACAAAACTCTTGACTCGGGGCTTCTCGGCTGTTTCCGAGAGGCACACATACCGCAGACCTGAGCGTAACTCATTCAGCACCACTACAGGGTTCCTCTCGCCCAGAGCCCCGGGGGCCAGCCTGGACCTGTCAGGCAGAGCCTGGCCCATGAGGTCCAGTGTGTGGTAGAACAGCCGTCCTCGCCGGTAGGTGGAAGACAGAAACTCGGGGTCAACGGGACGACAGCCCGGGAAGTCCTCATTTCTTGAAGATGGTTCGAACTCCTTGAACAATGTGTCTGGGAAGTCAGCCTGGTCAGAGGTGAAGTCAGTGCAAGAACTGGTACTACTGCCCATGGCCAGGTGGGCCTGAAACGCATTGGGGAACTGCACGAAGGACTTCAGGGCCATCTCTGCTGCCCGCATCTTGGCTTTCTTTTTAGTGGGCCCTGTGCCTTCAAACGTGAGCCCATTCACTTCCACAGCCACTGCGAAGACTGGGGCGTGCACTGGGCCCGTCTGTGACACCATCCTGTACTGCAGACCCGGCTTCAGCTCATGCAGCTGGACCAGGGCATTCTTGGGTGTCATAGACCAGGAGAGCTTCTTCCAGATCAGCTGGAGTTTGCAGAAATGCCCCGCGTTTCCTTCCTCCAGTGGCCTTTTCCTTTTAATGCTGGGCGCGCTGCCTCTGGCCCAGTCTCCAGGGGGCGGGGCCCTAGTCCCCAGGTTGCTCACATTTCGGTTTTCCTTCACTTCGGCACTGCTGGTACCTGGAGGGGAGAACAAATTAGTCATGACCCAGGGCACTGGCAGGTCACCACTAGTGGCAGAAACTGTTGGTAATGATGGCTCTGGAAGGCTGGGAATCCAGGCTCATGGGTCTTTGCCATCAGCGCCTCCAGCCAGTCTGGGAAAGGTGCTGTAGTGCCTTGTACAAGACTCAAAGGAGGAGGAACCCTGGGGACCAGTTGCCTATGGAGGAAAGACTCCATCATCGGGCAATCCTCAGAAAGTCAGGCCTGAAAAGATGCGAGGAAGAGACAGGAAAGGGGTGTGTCCTCTGCATGGTCTCACTCTCTGCTGTCTGAGCTATGATGATATCACTTACGAGTGCCTACTTCCTCTGCACCTACATTATCTCTTAAACATCAGAAAGACGAGTAGCCCTGCCTATGCATGGTTTGGGGCAACAGCAGACCTTAGAAAGGCTTTTCTTGAAATGATGAGCACCTTCCTGCCTCATGTGCTTCCAGGGCTATCAGGTGTGTGATTGATGCTCGTGATGCCCTTAGCACTGAAGAACGGGCGGTAGGGCTTCGTCGAGAATATGCTCTTTCATATCAAGCCCAATCAAGTCCAATAGTATTTCTCAAACCTCGCCTCCCAAATCACATCTGGAAGTGAGAAATGAGACCTGAGACCTCCATGGAGGAGACAGCTAGGAGTCAATCAAATGGAGGTGCAGCTGCCTTTTCTAAACATCTGCATGTCACCCATGTAGGCCAATACAGTTGCTGGACCTCAGTCATGCTGGTTGGTAACAGAACTGGAGAGTCCGAGGGGCCCGTAGGGCCCTGGCCAACCAGCCCCATCCTAGATGAGACAACGCATGGGAAGCTACCAAAAGCCACAGGTGCTGAGATGTGGCCTCGATTCTTCATCTGAATATGGTTCTTGGTCGTCTCTGCCACAATCACCTGGGACTTCTTAATAAAGTACACTGACTAGAAGTCCTTTGTCCTTTTAAATAAAAATACTACTTGTTGACATATCAAGGCCGGAAATGGTCCTAAGTGAACCATATGGTTCAGCTGCAAATCTGGGGCTCTACTTCCCCTACAGGATAGTGGGATTCCTTGGATTACTCTTCTGAGAGCCTTCCCATCTTAGCCAGGCAAACAGGTAAAACAGACCAAAATGTGATGCCTTTCTTAGGACATGCACCCACAGATCAGTGGGAATGAACACAGGCATAATTCCATGGCAAAAAAATTAGGGACACCCCCTGACAACCAAGAAACATTATGTACTCAGTAATATGCATCCAAGAACTGAGATTAATAAAGATGTTCACCATAACATAATATTTTAAAGTTGAAAATGTAGGAACTATCTAATTTCCCTCACGTAGAGGAACGGTTAAGTTACAGTAGACTCAACAACAAAATGATATCCAACAGTTACATCTTAATGGACTCTATATGCTTCAACATAAATAAAACTCATCAACATGTTAAATGACAAAAAGAACTCTCAAAATTTCATTGAGTCAGATAGAATGTCATAAGAATACTCACACGACATATTATTTGTGTAATCAGACTTATGAAAGAACTGAAGACAGTTATATCATAAAGACATATTCCCATCTCCCACAGGAGGTGGAGGGAGGGAAGGAAAATAAATGGATAAAGAATGGCTTCATTTGTACTTGTAACATTTTCTTTCTTTTTAAAACATTACAGTGTGTGTTTGGTGTGTGTGTGTGTGTGTGTGTGTGTGTGTGTATACACGATGGCATGTATGTGGAGATCAGAGAACAACTTGCAGGAGTCAGTTCTCTCTTTCCTTCCTGTGGATCTCAAGGATTTGACATGAGCCATCAGGATTGGTGGCAGGCATCTTTATCACCTGAACCATTTTGCTGATCCAACATTTTGTATCTTTGCAAAAAACTGACATAAAGTAAGTTCACCAAAACCATCATTCACTATAACTATATATTAAACTACATATAGTCGACATCCATCTATCTATCTATCTATCTATCTATCTATCTATCTATCTATCTATCATCTACCTATTTCACACACACACACACACACACACACACACACACACACACACACACATCCTGAGGCTGATCTGGCTAGGCATAGCCATGCCCAGGTGTGCACCTTCCATGCATTCTCTCAGAGGCTGGGAGCTCTCAGCTCTGTGGCAGGTGTGAATATGTTGGTTTTTTTAATTAATTAATTAATTTATTTATTAAATATTTCTGTCTCTTCCCCACCTCCGCCTCCCCTTTCCCTCCCCCTCCCACAATCAATTCCCCCTCCCTCGTCAGCCCAAAGAGCAATCAGGGCTCTCCGTCCCGTGGGAAGTCCAAGGAAAACCCTCCTCCGTCCAGGTCTTGTAAGGTGAGCATCCAAACATCCTAGGCTCCCACAAAGCCAATACATGCAGTAGGATTTTTTTTTTCTCACTAAGCTAGTGGAAACTCCAGGTGAATTTTTCAGTGAATCCACAACTTCAAAACAGACATTGAATTCCTGGCTGGCTGCTGACACATGGACCTGCTTCTCTTGTGCAGCCTGAAAGCCACACACACACACACACACACACACACACACACACACACACACACACACACAGAACTGAGTGAAGATGAATTTAAAGATAATTTAAGACTACTAGCCACCTTGAATGACTATTCTCTAATAAAGCTGTTCTTTTTAGAAAATCCAAGTTGTGAACTGCCACATGACCATATGACCCCTGCTGAACTTTGCTAGAGTGTAGGGTGTGTGCTTCTAGAAGCTAAACTCTCAGTTTTATTAATAATAACCCAAGGATTATGCCTTTGAATAGTCTGGCATCATCAACTGACCCATCAGCCTCTATGCATTCTGTTGAGAACCTAACTTTTATATATTTCTTCTTCCTTAGTCCCTAGTTAGTGGCTTGTATGGTCAACATTTTATAAGCAGGTGGGCAGAAGCTGAGACTCAAGGAGTTGAAATAATTTATTTATAAAGGTTGTATGCTGTGTTGTGTTCATGATGGGACTCGGTCCTAGGAATCTCATACTCCTCTCATCTGTGCAGTGGCTGTATGTTGATTTTATGGACACAGAATGGTTGTGACATTTTCTTGGCCTTTGTAGACTGACACCCCTCCCCAGGCCATCTGGATATAATGAAACCAAGTCTACTCCATGTGTGATGAGTCCTGGGGCTGATCTGGCCAGGCAGAACCATGTCCAGGTTTCCGTGCACCTTGCACATGTCCTCAGGGGCTGGGGGGCTCTCTGTGGCAGGTGTGAATGTGTGTGTGTATGTTTTTTTTCTCATTAAGCTAGTGGAAACTCCAGGTGAATTTTCCGGTGAGCCCACAACTTTAAAACAGACGCTGAATGCCTGGCTGGCTGCTGACACACGGACCTGCTTCTCTCGTGCAGCCTGAAAGCTACATAGGTTGAGACCTGCCAGAATGGCTGCTGTGTGCCTAACCTCTTAGTTTATGGCATTGTTGTTGGAGAATAATGGAGAAGAAGGTACAATTTCACAGCCACAAAGGATGCCTTTGAAAATCAGGGGCCTTTCAGAGGTATCCCGACATTTGAGAATGTTCTTTTCAGCATGTACTCTACTTCTTCTCAGCTCAGAGCTAACCTGTCGGCCATAGCTATCATGTCTTTATAAAGAAGCCCAAACAGTCCTTGCTAGGATGCTCCAGTGGGGGGCACTGGGCTCTGCATTGAAAGCGAGCTCAGCTTCTCAGTTTAAATTTTATAAATTGTGAAATGGGCTTACTACTATCTCTATCAATTTGCTACTAAAAAGCTATTAGGCTTGGGGAGGTTAGTTTGTTCAAAAGTGTGGACCTGGGTGCTTTCTCAGTTATAACCATGCAACACTCATTTGTCATGGATCTCAGCAAAAATAATTACCTTTTAGATAGCAAGTGCTAAATCTCGGCCGTTTGTGTTGATCGTTGTGAGCTCTGGGTATGCACACTGCAATGGACTCTGCCTTTTAGGGTATTTCAAGGCAAGGGAGAGTGTACATTAGATTAAACCATGTGATTTTTCCCAGACTGAACTCAAAATGGAAAATAAAGAGCAAACAAAACAATTCCCAAATCCCCACATCAGATTGCCTAGAAACCTGCTTGGAGCCTTCTAATTTCTTATTGATTTCTTACAATGTGGGGATTCAATAAGTGTGCCAGTGTGATTATGGTGGCTAGCATATCAGATGACCTCTGCTGCATCTTGAGAATCGAACTCAGAAAATAATGTTTTTGTTCTATACAAGGTGATATCCCTTTTATTTGCTTCTCTTCTGTAACCCTCAATATCTTACTACTGTTGTAGTTGGAACTCTTTATATAAACTTTGATTATTAAACCATGGTGTCAGTTCCTTTCTTCTTGTGTGTGTTGGTACATGTGTGTGCACGTGTGCATGTTTGTATATATGCACATATGTGCATGTGTGTGTACGTGTGTGCGTGTATGTGTGTGTGTGTGTGTGTGCATGCGCGCAAGTTTGGAAATCAAAGGTTGATGCTGGGTGTCTTCTCAGTTTGAGACAGGGTCTTCAACTGAACATTGAGCTTGTCAAGTAGGTTAGGCTGGTTGGTCACAAAGCCCCGGATCTTGCTGTTTCTGCTTCCCCAGCATTGGGATTACAGGTGCTCCCGATACACATTTTTACACAGGTGCTGGATATCAAACTCAGGAGTTGTGTTTGTGAAATAAACATAACCATATGATCTATTTGTCAGTTTCTGTGAGCTCCTTTCTTAATAATCAATAATTAGTAGCAGTTGATTTAAAACTACAGACATTGGTCCCTTGGACACAAAGTAGACTCTCTGGGATAACATTACCCCTGGTGATATTACTAATGTAAAACGTGTTGGTTAACTGATCCTCAGAGTTAAGCAAGTACTTCAGAGCCCAGCTTGACTTAGGCTGTGGTCTCTGTCCTGGGACCCTTAGTACTTGAGATGGTTCAGTGCCCACTTCACAGGGTATAGAGTCA